AATATATACTTACCGGCCACTGTGCCTAATCGGGCCGCTTTCTTCGGTTTTTGGAACGGATATTGACACACACTCGGCTGCAGAACCATACCTAAGCAGAATTAGACGGCGTCAGACTAAGATTACAATCCTGAACTTATATAGCAAACAAAAAGCAAGCCATGTAAATTTAGAAAACGGGTAGGTACTCTGGATATAACATTTCGTGCTGTATGAACCCTTTTGTATATGTATTCGTACTACTATGAACACCGAGCATCTGTGTTCGTCCTCATACTACAAAACGATTACCCACCTACTCATTTGTATATGGACATTTCATGCTGTAAGAATACTTTTGCATATGTATTCGTTCTAGTACAAACACCAAGCATCTGTATTCATCCTCATACTACAAACAACTGACTACCTACCCAATCCGTTGCCTTCACGGTTATCTCCACACATCGTACAGGCTGGATACATTTTTGTATCTATTCGTTGTTTTGCCATCTCCGAAAAGGGTTCTTCGGTTTTTATTTCCGGCGCGTACCCAATTTCAATTTTGGGTTTCTTGGCCCTTTTTGACGTGTCACGTGATCGTAACTGAGACTTCTGGTCCCTTGCTAGCACTTTGGTCTGTCGCAAATCAATGGAGGTGCAGAATATTAACAACAAACAACGGAATTTAGAATACAAATAGAAAGACTCGTCGCAACATTGTATTACGTCTACGCCACAAAATTGTATTACGTCCGTGACTCGATTCATATTGGGGTTTCTCAAGGCAAAGCAACCCAATACGAAATCATCCAAACTGATACAAAATATTCCATACCAATACGAAATAATCCAAAGCAATACGAAATAGTCGATACCAATACGAAATTATACAAACAAGTGCTATATAATCCAAAGAAATCTGAAATATTCCAAACCAATATCAAATAATCCAAACCAATATCAAAAAATCCAAATCTATACCAAAAAATTCAAAACAATTAGAAATAATCTTTAAACTAATCCGCACATTTCTCAATCCTTATTCATACATATATCTGTGTGCACTTCAACAAAAGGTCTTTCGCATATCTCATTTCTCAATCCTTATTTACACACATATATCTGTATGTACTTCAACATAAGGTTTTTCGCATATTACATTTCTCAATCCTTATTCACACACATATATCCGTATGTACTTCAACATAAGGTTTTTCGCATATCTCATTTCACAATCCTCATTCACGCACATATATTCCTGTATGCACTCCAACATAAGGTAAGGGTTTTCTGGTGTAATACCTCGGCGTAGGCCCTACAGTGAGTGGCAAGAGGGCATTCACCACACTTGGGTGTCTTGGGAACACATACAGTTGCACCCAATTCCATGAGCGCTTGGTTGTAGTCACCAGGCCTCTCAGGATCAACTAACGCGTCGGCCAGTGTCCTACAGTTGAGATTGAATTTGGCCACTTAGAAATCAAAAGTCCGCCGGTATTTAAAATCGAAGATTAAAAATAGAACAAGAGCAGACAACTGTATTTAGAATACCTACCAGAATATCTCCACGGTCTTCCCATTCCTGAAGTTACAGCCCAAACTGCGCAGCCGAGCGAGCACTCGGATCACATTGCCATCCACCACACCCACCGGTTGTCCACGCGCAATCGAAGCCACAGCTGCACTCGTATATCGCCCAATACCTACATTTGTACAAAGAGTGCCGATAAAATCATTCTGTACATAGACCTCAATTCTATAAATAGACCTTCACCACTAAGGAACAAAAACTACCTATCAAATCATTCTATAAATATACCTACATGTGCACAGGTTAGTAACTAGATAATAGAAACAAAGAGTGTCGATTAAATCGTTCTAGAAATAAAAAATATATATATCCATGCGAAATCCAAGCCACAGCTGCACTGGTATACAGTCCGATACCTATATAGAAACTGACAAGTATTTATTTAATAGGACAAAAGCTTAAGCATACATGAAGATATTTATAGAAGTGTATGTGTAGCTGGGAATAATCATGTCAGCGGTATTGTCCAGACGGGTGAATCGTGAGTCATAGGGAATACATATGAACTATGGTTGACGTTATCCTGTTAGAAGACATGAATGCCGTATAAGCAGTTAGCAATGCTCGAGGTTTGATATAACAAAACATGCCTCACTCACTAATTGACCACCTACATACAAATATATATATATATATATAGACAATAATATAACATAATA